GTAATTTTACAGTTACTAACGAGGCAACTAACTACACACTGTTTGTTGATTTCTATTCTGGCTCAGCAACCGATCAACTTAAAAACCATGACGGTATGGCTTTCACTACCAAGGACCGGGATAATGACAAAAACAGTGGTAACTGTGCTATAAACTACAGAGGAGCTTAGTGGTATAACAACTATTACTATTCGAGTCTGAATAGTAACTATGGAGACAGTTATTATAATTGGTACTGGTCTCTCAGGGGAAGTGAGATGAAACTCAAACCAAAATCTCCGTGAACGGTACACTTTAGTTTTTGCCAGAGTAAAGTCGGTTCAAACCGAACAAAAAAGGAGAAAAAGCTTTTTAAAAAGTAATGATTTTTTTCAATAGTTTTTTTACTGTGCATGATTTGTAGCTAAAATTATACTCGTTTGAAAGGTGGCCTTCCATCATCAAGCAGCCACATTTTTCTCTCCCGCGTTTCCTTGGACGTTCTACGCAGCGTCTGTCAGTTACGTAAATCACACATCCATTAAATAGAACAGTTTCCAATTAAGCGTCGAAAAACCAGAACCAAAGTAATCACTTTGGCCAATCACAGAGGACACAGACAATTCAGTGAACCAATCATAACACGAAGCAAATATATAAGTAGCTGAGGAGAAGCGCGGGAAGACGAGTGCGAGAGAGTCACAATTGGTTTTGGTTTTACATCTGATTCGATGACTAAGTGGAGGGTGTTTTTAAGCCTGTCAATCAGCGGAGCAATGCAAAACCAAAGCAAATACGAATTAATTTTGACACTCACGTGAAAACCGCTCAATTATCTCATCATGAACATGTTGGTACCGTGAAAGAATTCCGCGGAGAAAAATATATCTACCCTTCCACTGTCACAGCATGTGCATACAATTAATGTCAGCCAACGACATGTTCAGCTGCCACGCGTGAAACGTGTGAGCAACGCGCACAAAAGGATTGCGAAATACATATTTTTTGCAGTCATTATCAGCATCGTTTCTTGATTTCAAATAAAGCATATTCCGTACATTTCCAAGTACAGGAAACCTCAACTCTTACGGTTTTAACAAATAAAAATCCAACGTCTTTGCGTCCTGGACTTAAAGTCTCGAGAATGGCACGAATGCCGATAACGCACGTGTAAAACGCGTTGGACAAACGACTTGTCAAATTTGATCTTCTCCTCGCCAGCTTTCATCTCTCTGTACTTTGCTGGTCTTCTGTACTTCCTTTTCGAGTGTTGAGCAAGTTTCTCAAGAAAAACTCTCCTGTTCAAAAAAAAAAACAAAGTGCAAATGAATATTTTACAAGGAGCTACATTGAGGAGCCGTTTTGTTAGACCTTCGTTCAACTATGCAGACTCAATTTCCATTGGTCAGATTGATACCCTAGGGATTATGCAAATGACAGTATAAAAGAATTTACACGCGCTCCACCCCGTCACTCTACTCGAGGTCGTGAAAGCAAAGAGGCTGGCGACCCACCCTCTCACCCAACGAGTAAGTCGGGAATGATCTAGTAGTCCGCTGCTATTTTCGCCTGGTCTTGGGCTTGTCCCAGGCCGGAGTGATTCCCCATAGCTTAGTACCCTGTCCTAAATAGCGATACCTAGCGTAGAATATTACACTTTTTGAGACCAAAATGGCCAAAATCGATACTCTATTCTGACCAAAACGGGTGAAAAAACCATACCCTTTGAGGCCGCAATACCTGTATAGCCCATATAAAGGAATGGCCCCCTCGCGTTTCGGCTCTCTGTTTCACGCACGTGAAACAAAGGGCCGAAAAAACCGGATGCTATAATCGATTTGGTAATGTCTCTCTTTGTAATGCCGTTTACTCTCAGTGTCCTGATCAATGGGGAGTAGATAATGTTATCCGGTTTCAAGGCTACGCCATCTCAGTGCTCGGAATTTTAACGCTGTTTACGATGACTTTGACCGCCATTGACAGATACATAACAAGTAGACACCAAGCTAACTATTTGACTTTCTTTTAAGGACGTTCGCGCGAAAATTTTCCAGTCGATAGATTTTTTTGAAATTTTTACTGCAGTCAGATAATGAGTTACTTGTGTCAGAAATGCAAAGAAAGAATTGGAGGTCACCGACTTCATTTCAGAGATAAAGCGCGTGGAAAACTACCCTGATTTTGAAAAATTGGCGCACGTAATTCAGCATGCTCTACAGTGGTTTATAGTTAAAAATATCGAAGGTGAGTCAACGGAGGCAAACAATCTTAGTCATATTTTGTAGAAGTGGGTCTGTTGCGTAAATAATTCCGGCTGTTACCAACGGTTTCACAAAACTTAACCCTTCAAGAGGCATTTGAAACCGTCGCACAGATAAACGAAGAGCTAAACAGAACGAAATCCGATATTGCATTTTGGAAAAAATTCAAACTTCTAGTCTATAGATTTTCTTCATTTTATCGCTAAACGTAGAACATATCACATGAATATATCTGGCACTAAAAACTTGATTTAAACGTCAAGAATATTCGAAATTGTCCGCCTTTAATTAAGGCGGGGTTTTACCTGAATTTAAGTGAAATTTTAGTAACTTTAAAGAGGGATTAAAAGGGAAAAACTGAAAGGTTATGGAACACCACATCTACCAAGTTTTAACTTCAAATTCTAATTTTAAAACAACACCAGATCTTCAAAATTTCCTATTTTCATAAATTTTACTAATCCTTTGAGAAAAACTATTTATCTCCAAATATACCTAAAAATCACCAAAAAATTTACAAAACAGCCCAAAACATAGATATGTGTGATGAGCAGGGAGATTCTTGACTGCTTGAAATGTAAACGAGATATTTGCATTAAAAGCATGATACTCAGCCAAAATACGGCCTTCATGTAGACCCCCGCCTTAAGTGCTTATACGTTTGCGCTGCTGTCGCGGTTTGCTGGCTTGCATGTGTCTTTTGCAGTTCCTCTGTCATTCACCTTGGATGGAAACAACTTCGTTTTACACCCTGGTTACGCTGTGTTTAGAAAAGAAGTCAATAACGAAAGTTACCTTCGAGCGTACATATAAAAACTCATTGTCGTTGTTATACCACTCGTTGCTATCGCAACATGTTACTGCAGAGCAAGTGCAAATCTGCAGAAAACCTACTGGGCACAAGAGGGACGAAGAGAAAAGATAAATTCTTGGAAAGAAGAAGGAGGCAAAACAAGGCTTTTTGCGGCTTTAATACTAGGAACACTTCTTTTCTGGGTTCCTACTTCTGCTTGTGATATGGCTGATGCGTTTACCTACAAGCAATGCCTGTCTCGCTCAGTGTACTTGCTGTGCACGCTTCTTGTTAATGTCTCTTGTTGCGTAAAGCCTTTGATCATTGCACACATGGACGAAGACTTTGTCATAGAATTTAAGAGAATCCTTAAATTACGGGAAAGTAGAAAAGTCGGCATCGACAGCAATGTGGAAGGTAGCAAGCTTGAAGAAGATCCCAAGTTTATGCCAGAAACTAGAAAGTATTACTGTAAAATGGAGGAAGGCGATTTTAATATAAAGACCGAAGAGTCTGCTGTATGACTTTCTGTCGCAGAGCCGAGTCACTCCACAGGATTTCTGCTGAAATGGCTATCCGGTTTATTGATATGAAAGCAAGAAAGAGGCAAAATAATACCCATTCCCCAGCCGTCCTGTAAGAACCAAGCAACACAAATGCTACTGTGCAATATTTAAAACTTGTTAGTCGATCAGAACGATAAGTGGCTAAATAATAAAAGCGCCAAGCAAGGCTTTCTAATTTGTAACCCTCCAAGCTAAAACCTTTTGGTACTTTAGGATCTTTTTCTTTTTATGTTTAATGGTATGGTGACAATCAATCCTGCATGAAATGCACTAGTCTTGTAGAACGTTTGTTTCAGATCAGCAACTCTGCTGGAAAATATTGTAGGTCCGGAGTTGAAGAGAAAAACGAAAATGTAGGATATATGATATTAACGTTAACCTCTTAAAGGGATGTGCAAAATAATCTTCAAATTAAGTCAAACTTAAATAATAGCTCAGTAAGGTAGGAAATCATCAAAGAAGTACTAT